CTTCAAATACATGCATACATACATATATATATATATATATATATATATATATATATATATACATACAAGCATTTGGAATGATATTAGGGTGAGTAAATTTTAATGATATTGATTTTATTTTGGGGTCATTATGTTTGGAATATAAATATAAACTTTCTCCAACAGGGACAGTGTGTTCTAATACAGATTTATTGTGATGTGTTGTAAACACAAGCACACATAAAAATGAAGTAAATACACATAAAAATGTTTGCCATGACGCACTGTAAAACGTCTGATAAGCAGCCCAACCATTCTGAAGATATGAAACTCTATTACTGCTCCAAACTGATTCACAAATGACTGAGACTTAGTCATTCACAAGCTATTCTGACGTTCTGCCTCTTTAAATTGGAAAGTTATCAGCAGAACGATCACAAAAAAGCAGGAAGAAAGCCAGTAATATTTCAAGTCACATTTCATTCATTCGCATCTCATACGCAAGTAGGCTAAACCTGTGTTAGCGGTGCCGTAAGCATCTTATCAATCACGCGCGCTGATTTCAATTCAGATATTACACATTAGCAAGATTTTGTGGTAATTCAACTCACATGCACTAATTTCTTTTGACACCCTAATTTCTTTATCATTGGCATTAGCATATCATGGCCTTAGGTGCAGCAGACTAATTACAGACTAGTAATTGCAACACAAGTTGTCATGTCACATTAACTTAACATTGTTTCAGAAGAGCAGCCAATCAGACAGGTACAACTTTGTTTCTTTCTTTGACAAAGTAATTTGTATTGATAACTTTTTTTTTTAACATATAAGGTGAAGTGTGGCATGTCAACCACTTTTTGTGATTTCTTTTTCTTTTTCTTTTCTTTTCCTCTCAACCACTTTATTAATATGCTTATGGCAGACTTGAATGTAATAGAGAGGAAGCATCTTCGTATTGTCAAGCAGGGGTTTTCACACATGTTTTCTGTGAGTGGCAATCCAGTGTTGTAATTATTAATTTTTAATATTTTTCTAAGTGATCGTTGTGGTTAGTGGTTGATCTTGTAAAAAACCGCCAATGTTTTCCAGTGTACGTGCAGCTCACTTGTATAAATATGTAACTATGTCATGTTATTATGTATTAAATGTAAATATATCTACATAAATTGTAGAAATTGTAATATGTAATTCATTTATTATAAATTATTTATTTTATTGTGTAATGTTTTATACACTGTAATATTTAAAGAATACATTTCCGATATTTATTTATTTATCAATATAAAATATTAAAAGTTAAGTTAAAGGTTTGCCAAGGGGGTGGAACATTTCTGGTAAATTTCCGAAAACGTTTCTGAAAGTTTACCAGAAATTTACCAGACATTTTCTGCCTCTTTGAAATAAAATAAAATTGATTTATTGATCTAAACAATTGATTTTTAGTATTTTAGGTACAGTAATTGGATATTTCATATTGTTATTGCTTACATTTATCAGTATCAAAAATTGATGTTTAAACATCGTGTTAAGTATTTTTTGCTTCACCTAATTAATATTAACAAGCAATTTATAACCATCACAACTTACACATGTGTCTCATGGCTTTCTACAACAAAGTAATGCCTACAATTATATGTGTGTCACGATTGTTGCTACAACTGTATCTACAATGTGTAAAGGCCTACATTGAAGTAAACAAAAAAGAAACCGCTTCATAACCTTATGTGCTAAATGTATGCTTTACAGTAATTGAAAATGACACACTGCGGGAGATAAATGACATACACATTGCACCGGGCTTTGTTGCTGGACTATTTATGGGCGAAGCTTCTGACACTGTTAGGTTATGACAGCGAGAGCACAGTAACCAAGGAAACAGGCCTTCCTTAGCTCAGGTTGCACAAGTGACGATCGATAAATCACCGTGGCCGGGACAGAGGCTTAAGTCAGGAGAAAGGAGAATAAAGTGCTTTTGTTGGCTTTTCCAGTTTGGCGAGCTCAAGATAATCTGCTATACTTGTGAATTTTCACTTTAAGGATAGGAGAGGATAGATCCGCGCCACCTAAGTCTGCAAACAGCCATATTCTTTTTGTTTTGTTTTTGGAGATTGAGTCAGCTAGCCACTGTCTGAATCAATATTTATTCAATCCACGCTGAGAGCGCATGGCGCTCAATGATATGCAAAATGTTAAAAAGATTACAATAGACAAATTCAATCCAAGCTGCTGCGTGACGATCTTGGAATGCTGAAATCGCTTTCGGTATTCTGAGATTGTCTTAGTGAAGTCAGAGCTCTTGCAGTGTGCGATTGCATTTATCAGTGTCGTTGGGGGGTTTGGCCTCAGGAAGAACAATAGGCTAAGACGGGCCAAAATGGCCATGAACTGTCCAACACCAGTGGTATCCATTTAGCGGCGTTTGCCCAGCCAAGGTATGTGTATGTGAACCTTAACTTGATATTACTAGATATCAAGGCTTAAAGGAACAGTTCACCCAAAAATTGGCTGAAAAATTCATCTGCAGTGAATGGGTGCCGTCAGAATGAGAATTCAAATAGATGATAAAAACATCACAATAATCCACATGGCTCCATCAATTAACATCTTGTGAAAACCTCACTGTTTGTAAATAAGAAACAAATCCTACATTTACGTTTGAACCGTCACTTCTAGCAAAAATACGAGTCTATAATTCATCATAATGCTTAGTTTAGTTAAAAAAGGAAGCCCATCCCCTTTTGTCCTCTCACATCAGAATCCACTGGCATAGTATTTGTTTAGAAAGTGTTTTCGGTGCTCGATCTATACATATTTCTCTCCTGATTCAGATTACGTTTCCTCTGAATAAGCAATAGTATGGTTAGAGGACTCTTATTTTAGCTGTATTTTCGCTTCACATGATGTTAATTGATGGACTGGAGTCATATGGATTACTTGTGTATATTTGTGATGTTTTTAGCAGATGTTTGGACTCTCATTCTGACGGCACCCATTCACTCCTGAGGATCCATTGGTGAGCAAATGATGTAATGCTGATTTTCTCCAAATCTGTTCTGATGAAGAAACAAACTCATCTACATCTTGAATGACCTGGGTAAGTAAACTTTTAGCAATTTATTTATTTATTTTGGTGTACTATAGTCATTTTAATCCAAGTGTGAAGGCAAGAGTCTTGTAAAAGCCTCAGTTAATTATTATTAACTTTATTATTAGCTTTATTTAGTTATTTATTTATTTACTTAACTTTTCCTTATGTATGTTTGCTTGAAATGCTTCATTCAATATTAGGAAATGATATATAGGACATTTTTGGCCTTAACTATTTACATCTTTTCATGGTTGTGCTGAAGTCATTTTCATAAAACCCTCTTTTTATAAAATATAAGCTCGTGTAAATGTCAACATTATCTAATAATGGACTGAAGCATGTCAGGCAAACATGATTTATGAATACACAAAAAACAACAACAACATATAATTCTATTATTATTCCTTGGCTTAATATTTCTTACTAGACTGACCAGGGAAAACACTAGCATTTTTAAGAGAATGTAAATGACAACAAATGATTTTAACTCAAGCTTCGCTTCACACCTGCTATAGAGAATCATTTTTATTTTTATCACACTATTCTTGTTCTATAATTAATTGCACTGAATTAACTTGTTAAATTCACAGTCCATTTTTATGTTTTATATTTCAAGCAGATTACCCATCCTTTTTTGAGTGCACTTAAAAAACCACTCCACGGCTCAATTAATTAATGATAAGTTCTAGAATGCTCCTCTATCTTCAGAAAAAAGCGGCAGTTTCTGTGCCTTCAGGGAGATTCATGCATCATTCAGATCACTCAGCCCATCTTTACGCCTCGACTGTCCTGGTGTCCTTTGTATCGTGGACCTCCCACCACAATGCACATTCCTGGAGTCAATGGGGATTGGAAAACTCATCATTTTGAGACTTTTCTCAGTTCGCTAAACAGGCCGGGTAGGACTATACTACAGTTGCAGTACCCTGTCAACCACCACCTGTTACAGCCCACATTTCAGACACTTCCAGAGCCACAGAGCACAGAAGGTAGGTGTCATCGGGTTGTGAAAACACCTCACACGCCAGCATCAGAAACACCACATCGGACTCTGAGAAACGAGTGAGCAGTCTGATAATGAGCAGTCCATATTAATGACCCTGGCACAGTCCTGTTTAATCACAGCCTTGTAGAGGTGCGATCTCTGTGGAGCTTACAGTCAGCGATAAATTTCCCGGGATCCACCAGTGGATTCGCACACGTAGAGAATTATATGTGTGAAATCGTTTCTCTAATTTCCTGTTTGCCCATTTTAATGCGACCTTGAGCTTTATTTACGTGATTATTTGTGGTGTTTGTTATAGCATGCATTCCTTACTAAAAAAGAAAAAAACACATGTCATAATTTATTTTATACTTCAAATCCATTAACATATTTATATATTTCTTAATATTATGCCTAAAATGTGTTTTAATATCACTATTAATAAGGATTATATGATCTCTGTATGATATCAGTCTTTAAATTCAAGATATTTAAAGTGTACATCAAGTATACTTGCAATAGTTCCACTTTTTTAAATTGAGATTTATACATCATCTGAAAGCTGAATAAATAAGTTTTCCATTGATATATGGTTGATAATATTAGGATAGGACCATATTTGGCTGAGATACAACTATTTGAAAATCTGGAATCTGAGGGTGCATAAAAATCAAAATCTTGAGAAAATCCCCTTTAAAGTTCTCCAAATTAAGTTCTTAGCAATGTATATTACTAATCAAAAATTAAGTTTTGATATATTTAAGGTAGGAAATTTACAAAATTTCTTCATGGAACATGATATTTGCTTAATATCCTAATGATTTTTGGCATAAAAGAAAAATCAATCATTTTGACCCATACATTTTGTGAGAAAATGGGACTGTTTTATGAGTAGCCATTTTCATTTGAATTTGTATGCTTTGATTTGTACGAAGACGCATGACTTTTAGAAAGGAAAAAAAACCTACGAATGAAGGTCCACCTAAAACTTACAACTATCCGTCTGTGGGTTGTAAGCAGATTGTATGAAAACTCACAAATGAGATACATTTTTACAAAATTTGCCACCAGTTTGTCAAAACATAAAATAGTTTACATTTACATTAAAACACTATTGAGTTCAATTCGACACAAAAAATGTATGCTTGATCAGGTCAGAAATTTTTGTACTACCTATTCATGTTTATTTATTTATTATTATTCTTTTTTTTTTTTGCATTTAACATTACTTTTTTCCCTATTGTACTCAACAATATCAGAATAGACCTATGACCCACAAATTGAGAACCGCTAGTGTAATCTACCAAAATGACAAATCAACCCAATGTCATGAGTTGAAGGTCAAACCCTTAAACTTATTGATCAGTGGGGTGGAAGCAGATTGTACGAAAACTCGCAAATGAGATACAAAATGTAAATACCGAATTTTGACATAATTTGCCCAAATGTAAAATACATATAAATTGCCATAACACATTAAAATATCATTGAGTTCAATTTAATGTACAACCTTTGACAGCAACAAAATGTATGTTTGATGACCATTAATTTTCTTATCCTAACTATTCATAGTTATAGTTTTTTGTTTGTTGTACTCAACAAGATCAAAACAGACCCACAAATGAAAAAAATACTGCTTGTGTAATCTATTTCAAATACAGTAAAAACTGTGCTGTCGCTTTACTTGTCTAAATGGACAGTACTTGGTCAGAACAAACTGAAGCTACCAAGACTGGGTATGCAAGATTAAAAATATTATAGAAACTTCTTTGTGAGTGCTTTTACAGTAATTTTGAAACAGTAGACAAAGCCCTAGCAGCCATCTTGAAACACAACTTGCATTTTTGTCAGCAAATACAAAAGTCTGGTTATTATTTTTATTTTTATTGAGCACAATCTCTCTGTAGAGGCTAGATGTTTTTTTCCGCCTGCTCCAAAGCTCAGTTTCTCGATCGAACTGTAAGATAAATATAAAGGAGTTCATTTTGGTCACTGAAAGCAAGGGTGATGAAATCTTGACGATGAATGGCCGCTTTAACAGAATTATACTGAGCTGATGTCAGCAATCAACACAACAGGACCATTACATCACTTTTATGAGTCAGCAGTCACAGAAATCCCCTTCCCGAAGTCAAAGGCTTTGATTAATAAAGCTTCAGCTAAATTTCCTCAGGGAGCAATTGAACAGAGGAAATTTGGAGGGAAATTAACAACACAAGTCCGTTGCACCCAGAAAGATGAGAAGCATTGCAGAATTCATTAATTGAGGGAAAAAATGCACTAATTATTTAGGGTTGGAAATTTTTGATTTGGATGATAATGCTTTCTTTTTATTTTCAGTATTAAGTAGGCCTAATTAAAATTATATTAATTATGAGCGAATGTCAATATTTACTGAGAAAAGTAACCAAATGAAAAAAAAAATAGATATTACATTATTGTAGGAAAAGATTAAAGTACTGAACAAAACTGAACAGTTATTACATTTTGAATATGGATATTTTTCTTACAAAATTACTGTAATTCTTACATCGATTCGCTACAG